GTCCTGCCCACCTTCACCTCCTTCCCCCTGTCACCCACCGCTGGCCTCGGCAATGATTCAGGACACGCCTGTTCTCCTCAGGTTCAAGTTGAAGTTGAACTGCTGAGTTGAGCAGTGGTTGTGCACCTTCTCCTCTTCGCCACCACCACCACCAGTTTCGGCGTTGTCCTGTGCTCCCGTTGATGTTCCATGTCTGCCCAACAGTAAGAAGGTGTGCACTGCCCACCTGGTTGCCAGACAAATGAAGGTCACAAGAGGTAAACAGAAGAGAAGTTTGGTTTTGCCGCGGAGAGCGCCCTTCCATCTCGGTTGCCAACGGACCATCTCTACCTCTTCTTCCTCCACCCAAATTTCATCGCTTGTACATGCACCACCATTACTCTGCCAACAACACTCTCCCAAGAACGCGTCATCGACTGAACGTAAGTGTTTACCGTCATTTTTTGTTTGCCGAGTTCGAATTCAGTGTTTGCATCATTCTTCAAGTCGCGTCTCTGTTAGTAGTGAAACCTTCTTTTAGAAGTGACTAATTGAACCTAATTCTGTAATCTTAATCATACCACTTGATAACTGTGTCTAAAATTAGCAGTCATCAGCGGTGATGGCAGCGGCACTATCTCAGTCACTCTATCTTTTCTCTTTCACTCACTCACTCCACCTATTACGACACGATTCAATCAGTGCAGAGCGGTGTGGCAGAATTGCCCTGATCACCGACGCCAACTGAGGCAGAAGAGAGATGTGTCACTGACCGAATGGCATCACTTCTGCATCACTCTCCTTTCTCACCGAAATAACTATTGTGTGCCAGTTGGGCAACAATCTCTCCGGCAGTCAGTAGAGAGAGTAGACGAGAGTGAGAGAAAGAGTACAGCCAGTCCACTCTTGATGATGAGCCACTGATGATGATGATGATGATGACGGCAGTAGTGGAGATGGTGATGGTGGTGATGGTGCACTCACAAGCATCCATCACTGATTCTTCTGCCACTCTCGGACCGAACACACTGGCTGATGTCGGCTCACACTGTCTTCACTGTCGGAGCACACTTGGCCACATTTTCTCTTTCGTTCGGCACAGTCGTACAGTGTACTGCGATTGTCTCAGCTGCAGCAGCAGCAGCGGCACTTACCAAGCTGACCTGACTGACTGCCTGTCTTCTTCCCTTGTGAGCGGTGACTTCGACCACAGCCACGACTTTGTCTTCGTCGGTGGACTAACCTCTTTTCCCTTTTCGCTGTTTGCCTCATTTTCATGCACAGCAAAGCTCCATCATTATCGTTGCAGTGCACCACTCTACGAGCAGATTNCTTTGTCTTCGTCGGTGGACTAACCTCTTTTCCCTTTTCGCTGTTTGCCTCATTTTCATGCACAGCAAAGCTCCATCATTATCGTTGCAGTGCACCACTCTACGAGCAGATTCCCAATTAAATAGAAATAGCTCTGCAATGGGAACTGTAAGACGTAATGGTCAAACAAGTTGTTTGTGAGAGAGAGAGAGAGAGAGTGTATGTGTGTGTGTATGTATGTGTGTTCTCCCCGGAGTTTCTGTGATTGGCAAACCTGTTTGACCAGAAGACACAAGACAGTTTTGCGCTCTTTAGGTCGTTTACTGTTACTGCCGTTGTAGAGTGGTCTTCTCTCTTTCTCTCCTTCCATTTTTCACTCCTGCTCCAAAGGCACACTAACTCACGAAGTAGTCACTGTGTTGTGCGGTTGTTCAATTCCCGCTCCAAGCTACATTTCATTTCATTTCATTTCACCCTTTACTGCTGTCCGATTGAGTGTGGACCAGTGTCTTCTTTACGTTGCCATCGTCGTCAGCAGCAGTAGCCAAGTACAGGCTTTTGTTGTCTCCCAAACAGTGCATCTGATTTGGCCAATACCCTTCAACTGAGATGGCTTATCCTCGCCATTACTGCTACCACCACCACCACTCACTTGTAAGTGGATACACTTTGCATCTTTATCGGGTCTGTTGCCTGTTTTTTTGCTTGCCCGTTTCAGTGCTTGTCAGTGCTTTTCCGTCTTTTATTTGTGCTATCTTTGTCCTCTTTAACACTCCATTCACTTTCCTTTATTCACTGACCTGTAACTGTTTGGGGTAGTGTTGAGGAGTGCTGATAATCAATCCTAACCTTACTGCTGTACAATGAAACCCTTTTTCTCTATTGTTGTTTTATTAGGTATAACGTTTCTTTTCCTTTATTTAGCAACGCTGGTGATGAGCAACATCAAAGGCAATCGAGTGCCATTTTCAATGTGTCGGCGTAATGAACAGCAGAGGAAACAGGATTTGCAAGTTCTTTTAACGTATTGCAAGTACAACATCCTCTGACTGCTTATCATCTTCCATGCAGTTTAAGCCTGTCCATTCTTGAGGGAGTTTTGAGTCCTTGCAACCAGCCACTTTTTTTGGCTGCACTATGTAATCAATACATGTACGGCTTTGTTTTGTCGAGGCAACGGCGATGATTAGAGAAGCACTCGCTGACTTTGCTTTTGTCTATTGATAGACAAGTGATCTAATTGGTGGGACTCCACATAGTTTGCGCCTATGTGGCATAGTCGTTGAACCGTTTGCTGGTGCTCTTTGCTCTTTTCTCTTTTCCTTTCTCTTTCTCATCAGAAAACCATTTGCATACACTCTCACTCTTTTTAGCTTTAAAGTTTGCTTGCATGAGCAGCAGTAGTAGTGCTGGCAACACTACTGCCAACACCGGACTTGCCGTACGCCTGCAAAGTGTTGATAGTAGGGGCAGGAGAAAGAGAGAAAGGGAATGTGTTGCTCCACGACACAAAGACACCAGACGATGTGTCCACCACTGCAGCAGTTGTACAGGCACAGATACACTGAAAACACAACACACAACATGGCCAGAGATGGATGTGCTAGAGACCGGTGCTTACGGCGGCTGGCTTTGCTGGCAGAGAGTCATTTCCTGGCGCACCACTGGTCATATCCTTGCTCATCCCTATCATCATCAGCAGTCGCCGCTGTATGTATGTGTGTGTCGTTGTAGGCAGCCTCAGCTAGAGCAATGCCTCACTGAGTACTTGAGGAAAACGGCCCACCTTTCTCGAGTTGTCTCAATCGAGTTATTTCGATTCTCGAACAGCCGCCCTCGTCGCAACACCACCACCACCATCACCGCCATCATCCTCAGGGCTTGATGGTGCTAAACAGGGAGAGAGAAAGAAACACCAACTCTGTTCACTTGAGGCGATCACTTGTTGCGCCGTGTGTCTGTGTCTGTGCTTGAGTTTGCGTCTGTTTGTGTAGATGGTGTGTGTGTTTCTGTTATCTGCACCGATCCAGCCATCCAGCAGCAGCCATCCAGCATTCGTGTCTGTGAGGATATCACGCTCGAACACTCGGCATTGAACGCTGTCCTCTGTGTGCTGTTTATAGCTTTCCTAGCCACTAGCACACTAGTCGGCGATTTGTGAGATTTCCACAATTAGCGTTGTGCCCGACACATGTTGTAATACTGGGAGTAGTCGCCGTCGTCGTCGTGTCACTATCACCAACAGCAGCAGCAGCACCAAAGCCCAAACCACCACCACCACCATCATCATCATCATCGTCACTGCCAACGGCATTTCGGCAAATGTCGCCGCAAATGCTCGTCGGCTGCCCCTCAGCACAGCTATTCTGTCGACTAATCAGCAGTTTGCAGCTCGTCGTCGACCCCGTTGAAGCGCACCACCGCAGTATCTTCACCAGCAGTACTGTTCATTCTACAAAATGTGTGTGACTTCTCGGTAGACTTTTGAACAGCAGCAGCACACACTACCCTCTTATCTCGATTGAACAGGAGGATATCCTACCCGATGTTGCCCAACCGATAAACTGCAGCTCAGCAGGATTTTTGCTGCCAACTCTGCTTCTGCTACAGTTTTCTCTTCTTTTTTTTTGCTTCGGCTCAAATGACAACTGCTACTGCTGTTGCTGGTCAGAAGGCTCTAGAAAGGAAGAAGGCACTGCTGGTGTCTCGGTGGCGAGAGAGTGCGTGTAAATTCTGCATCAGCACTGCCCTAACTTGTGGCTGCCACTCGGTCGAATCGGTCCTATCGATCTCTCTTCTCTCTTTCGTTCGATTCTGTTAATCACACCACTGCAGGCACCACTGCAACCACCGCCACCACCACCACCACCACCAGTAGCTGTGGCTGAACTCATGTCAATGCTAATGAGTTGCAGTAGTGCCAGACCACTTGCGACAGACAGGGACAGTGTTGCTGCTGTTGCTTCAGCTTAAAAGCTGATGGCTCACTGCAGTCTAAATTCAGTTTCACTTTGAGCACCGAATGCCGCACATGCCACTTGCTGTCGTTCACCACTGCTCAAAAACTGTTCCACTTGTTGTACACTTCGTTTCTCTATTTATTTCTCCTGCCTTTGTTTTCTCTACTTTGCCGTTTTTATTTACGAGGGGAGCACAACAACATTAATCATTGCCAGGAGCACCACCACCGCCACCATCTGATGATGCATCACCAACAGCAGCAGCAGCAGTCCTGGTCCTCTTCTTCATCAAAGTTGCCATGTAGTCCTAAAGACAGTCCGTCATTGGGTTGCACATTGCTGCATTAGAACTTGCAAGCTGCCCAGTGAAGGGCTGTCTTTGGGCTAACTTTTTCATCGTTTGTACTTGAGGAGAGGGGGTACCTTTTGCAGGGCATTGAGGAGATGCACTGTCGCTGGTGAAAACGTGGCACATACACACTGACTTTTTGTAAGTTTTTACTTTAACAGACAACTCTGATTATTTCAAATTTACACTGTAACCACTGTTTTTAAAACTGTTCATTTGCTTTTGTCACTATCTTTTTCGTTTACTATTGCTCCCAGTTGATTCTTTACTTACGCGCTTGTATGAATGATGCAAACATTGAATAAACACGTTTTACCAACCAATCGAACTTGGCTCTCCATTACTGTTTATTGCTTAATTTGACTAACCTTCTTTTACCACCACCACCACCACCTTTTAGAATGACCACCACCCCAACACCACCTCTGGAGGAGGAGAGGCTGGAGGATGCAGAGTGGTACTGGGGCGAGATGTCCCGAGATGAGGTCAGCGAGAAGATGCGCGACAAGCCGGAGGGCGCCTTTCTGGTGCGTGATTCCACTAGTAAAAAGTTTGGCGAGTACACGCTGACGCTGCGCAAAAGCGGCACCAACAAGCTGATCAAAATCTTCCACAGCAATGGCAAGTACGGTTTCTCCGACCCTTTTGCCTTTGACTCGGTCATTGACCTGGTTAATCACTACCGGCGAGAGTCCCTTGCTCAGTACAATCCAACGCTCAATATACGGCTGCTGCACCCGGTCTCAAAGTACTCGCTGCCCGAGTTGAAGGGCCTCGAGAATGCCGACATCAACACGCTGAAGGCGAAGCTGAACGAGCTGAAGCTCGAACAGGAGCGGAAGAACAAACAGTTTGACCAGTTCAATGACGACTACGAGCGCAACTCAAACAGCATCAGCCGACAGCAGAGGGTACTGCAGGCGCACCGGCTGGTGATCGGCATGCTGGAGGAGCACCTGCAGCTCAATGACCGTCTCACCGTCGAGGTGCCGCCCCATGAGGTGCCAAAGATGCTCGAGCAGAAGGAGCACCTCATTCGGAAGATCACCTCGCTGAACAAGTCCTACCAGGACCAGGACAACAGTCTGAAGATGATGATCGCCTACAATCGACTGATTGACCGGGAACGTAACGGCCTCAAGCCGACCCTCAGCAAACTGCGGCAAACGCAAGACATACTGATGCACAGGGTGGAGCAGAAGCACTTCTCCCAGGCGCCGCACAAGTCGCAGGCCACCTGGTTCAGTGAGAACTGCTCGCGAGTGGACGCCGAGAATATGCTCAAGGCGAGGCTCCACCAGGACGGCACCTTTCTCATTCGCAACAGCCGCCAGAGTGGCCAGTACGCCCTGTCGATTGTCTGCGAGGGAAAGATCTTCCACTGTCTCATACTTAAGACGGATCGTGGCTACGGCTTCTCCGAGCCGTACGACATTTTCCCCACGTTGATGGACCTGGTAATAAACTACTCCACTACCAGCCTCTTTGAACACAATGACAACCTCAAGACGACGCTGAAGTATCCCTTCTGGGGGAACCCGGCAGTGCAGGGTCTAGCCAATTGCTACGAAGATATGGTATGATTGACACTCATGCTGCGAGCTTTGGACACTGATCACTCATCCATCACCTTGGTATCCTCTTTGCTGCCACCTGTTTTTATCGTTATATTATACGTTTCTAATTTTGTAAATCTAAATCACCCAAATCACTCCTCTCTCTTGATCAATTACTCTTCTCTAGTCGTCACTTGCATTAACTCAATTGTATAATCCTCTATTTTCATTGTATTCTTTTGTTACATTTGACAATTATAAACTTTTATTAAAGATTTTTATGCTTATTTCGTTTTGAATTTATTGGCGTAGGAGCTTAGAGTAGTTTGTATGCAATTTAAAAGGTGGCGGCACTGCAGTTGTAAAAACAATTTTTTTGAAAACTGCAAAATATATTTCAGCGCGCCGAAGATTGACAGCGGACATCAATTGTTGTCCATCAAACCCGATTCTCGTCAGGCAGGTTGTGGGGCACAGAATTTGCCAACAAGCTATAGCAGGACGGAATTGTAGTAGTGGCAAAAGGCAAAAGGCAGACGGCCGCATCAACATGTGAAGGGGAAGAACGAGTGTGAGTGCATCGCCACAATGCCTAATGAAGAGAGGCCATTGGGGTGACCAGCAGTAGTGTCAAAGGTGGTGGCACTGTGCACTGTCTTCATCGGCCGCATCTCATCAGTTCATCACTCATTACTGAACTTTACTTCATTCCGATGGCAGCGGTAGCAGATCTCAGTCGTCGCGTGTCTGTCCAGTTAGAATGACCAAACAGTTGGCTGCCGTTGCTGGCGAACTGTTTGGATGATAATTTGCCTTCTGTTCCTAATAATGGCCTTTTTGTCTTCTGCTGCTGCTGCTGAACGTTCTTCCTTTTACCTGTGCAGTGTTCCACGCTTTGTCGCGCTCGATGAAGGCAGTCGTCGTCGTCTTCATCGTCGCCGTTGATTCTCTCTTTCTCTTTCTCATTGCCTCACCACCACCATCACCTCACTCTCCGTCGACTGCATCCTAATTTCTTTCTCTCTCTCCCTCTCTCACTCACATCTTCACCTGTTGCTGAAGCAATTTGCCTGTTGCCTATTGTCTTGCTCCGCCACCACCATCGCAACCACTGGCGGCTAGTTCGTGCAGTCTGCAGTCGATTCGCTTGTTGCATGTTCAGTTGCGTCTCTGCTCTTCACAGCGCAGCTCAGTCGTCTTTAGGGCAGCGAGCCGACAAGAGCAGACAGTGAAGACAGTCGCCGAGACGCTCACACACTCACTCTCAGACACCAATGCCGCCGTGCACCGTTCAAACGGACAGCCGCCACTGAGAGTTGTCCATCTCTTCTATTTCTTCTTCTTCTTCTTCTTCTTTGTCGTCTTGTCTTCTAGTTTCCCTTCTTCGTCTTTGACTGCNCACTCTCAGACACCAATGCCGCCGTGCACCGTTCAAACGGACAGCCGCCACTGAGAGTTGTCCATCTTTTCTATTTCTTCTTCTTCTTCTTCTTTGTCGTCTTGTCTTCTAGTTTCCCTTCTTCGTCTTTGACTGTTTTCTGCAATCTTCCCTCTTCAAGAAGGCGCACGGCCTTGTTTACTGCTGCGGCTGCGGCTGCTATACACTGCCGTTTGCTACTATCGCATCTTCATCTCCATCAGCAGCACATCCCTTCCTTTCTCTCGTTCTCTCCTTCTATCTCACTTCATTTCACTGCTCCCAATTTCCGTCCAATTGGAACAGCAACAACAACTGCAACAAGAGGATCAGCAACAATGTTCTTCCGCTGTGTGGAGCAAAGCAAGTAAAAGTCCGACTGCCGCTGTCACTGCCACTTCTGCTTTTGCTACTGGGCTATCTTTCCGATCTTCCGTTCACTGCCACCTAGTCCCACCGAATTCTTCTTCTTCTGCCCTGATCATCAGCACCATCACCACCTACAACCTAGTGTCACATTTTCCCCAGCAAGTGCAGATGTTTGCCGCCTGTGTGCCCTTAAGTGCTCCTTTCCCCAATTCGTTTTCCTGCCAGACGCAGTCAGAGTTGCGGCACACCGTTACCTGCAATCAGCTGTCCTTTCTCTCTCTTTCCCTCTCACCTCATCTTTCCCTTAGCATCCATTTTCTTTCCACTCTCGCCCTCGTGCGTTTGTTGTTTTGCCTATCGCCAAATTTGCCGCCATTCGAAGTGGGGAAAAAGTTCCCTAAATCAGCCTAAATTGCTTCATCGTGTCCTCTGCAGCCAGTGCAGCCGTACATCAGCAGGTAGTCCTTGCTTCGGTGACTGAGACCGAGCGTAGCGTGTTGTTGTCCTTCTTGCTCAACCTCCTGACTGCCACCTTCCTGCCATCTTCAAAAGCTGTAAATTACAAACCACTGGCTAGTAAATCTTCCACCTCAGCTGTGTCTGGCCTCGAAACACCAGCACAGCACAGCACCACCGATAGCAAACGCTCAGCCAAACCTAAACACCATGCCTGCCACTAGTTAGTTAGCTCGTCATCCACCAAATAGGTAAGTGTCCGGCTTTGACCATTAAACACCTCGACCGAGTGACTCACTTTCGATGAGTTNAAATTGCTCCATCGTGTCCTCTGCCGCCAGTGCCGTACATCAGCAGGTAGTCCTTGCTTCGGTGACTGAAACCGAGCGTATCGTGTTTTTATCCTTCTTGCTCAACCTCCTGGCTGCCACCTTCCTGCCATCTTCAAAAGCTGTAAATTACAAACCACTGGCTAGTAAATCTTCCACCTCAGCTGTGTCTGGCTTCGAAACACCAGCACAGCACAGCACCACCGACAGCAAACGCTCAGCCAAACCTAAACACCATGCCTGCCACTAGTTAGTTAGCTCGTCATCCACCAAACACCAAATAGGTAAGTGTTTTCTTTTGACCACTAAACACCTCGACCGAGTGACTCACTTTCGATGAGTCTGCTCCCTCACCGGTGTCGATGATGATAAATGAGTGATCAGCAGTGATCTGAGGTGTAGCTCACCGCCGGTCAGTGAGTCGGTGTTGCCGGTGATCGCTGACACACTGACTGACAGCACTGAAACTGAGCAGGTAGCATCATGCATAATTCATCCAGTAAGAGCATCCGTCAGTGTCTACCTACCTACTCTCTCTCTCTCTCGCTCTCTCAGTTAGGCAAAATTGCTGCAAACCTCTCTGCTGTCCAGGCTAAATTGGNCATAATTCATCCAGTCAGAGCATCCGTCAGTGTCTACCTACTTACTCTCTCTCTCGCTCTCTCAGTGGGGCAAAATTGCTGCAAACCTCTCTGCTGTCCATGCTAAATTGGACACCTCTCTCAGCGCATTAGCCAGCTAGCTAGGTGACCGAGTTCGAGCTGAGTGGAGCTCAGCTGGCTAGCTAGCTTCTTACAAGTGGCTTNGCTGACACACTGACTGACAGCACTGAAACTGAGCAGGTAGCATCATGCATAATTCATCCAGTAAGAGCATCCGTCAGTGTCTACCTACCTACTCTCTCTCTCTCTCGCTCTCTCAGTTAGGCAAAATTGCTGCAAACCTCTCTGCTGTCCAGGCTAAATTGGACACCTCTCTCAGCGCATTAGCCAGCTAGCTAGGTGACCGAGTTCGAGCTGAGTGGAGCTCAGCTGGCTAGCTAGCTTCTTCTTACAAGTGGCTGATCGTGTCCTGTGCGCTTTGTCTCCTCTCCGCCTTCACCGCCGGCGACGACGACGACGGCCTTTGCCGCATCTCGTTACACCTCGCCAGGAGCGCCTGATATGCATCTCAGCACGAACCATCATCTGCTGCCTCATCATCACACATCATCTTCTCACATTTGTCCGCCAGCCCGTCTACTCTACATTTTTTCTTCGCTATCTAGTCTAGCCTCCTCTGTTTACCTTTTGTTGAGCTTTACTGGAGCAGCCTCATACACTTAGGCACTGCTTATGCTTGCTGTCTGCATGTATGTGCTTGTGCTGCACAAAAAGCTCACCGGAGAGAGTGTCCGATTAGAGTATTTCGATTGTTCGCGTGAGAGCCAACTCTCTCTCTCTCTCTCTCTCTCTCTCTCTCTCTCTCTCTCCAGGTCTAAACTCCGACGACGGCCACTCTCTCGGACTACTCCGAGCTCAGTGCTCCCTCGTTCTATCTACTGGTCACTCCGTCGGCGTGATCTATTTTCCTGTGACCCAAAATAGCTGAAGGCACCTCCACTTCCCCCCACCACCACTACCACTTCTTGTCCACTTCGTGTCCATCCACTAGACTCTCTTTTTTCTCTTTCCAACACTCATTCCAGCACTGAAACTCGTGGGCCACGCGACCGTTTTTGCAGTGTACTGCACTCTCGCTCCCCCGCTAACTGGTGGCTGCATCACTGCCTTTTACTCTCTTGCAGAGAACTCGATCAGAGTCGTGTGATAATGAATCAACGGGCGAAAGGAGCACAAACAGACAAACAGAAACACACGCAGGCAGAGACAGAGACAAATATCAAAACACACTCAATCAGACACTTTAATTGGTGATCTTATCGCCACCATCATCTGGCTTGGCATTCAAATGAATAATGTTTTTATTTAAACATCAGTGCTATTGAATACAAGAGAAGGAAGAGGAGGTTTGAAACAAATGAATACAGACTAGTCAATAGTAGTGGGCCTTTTTTCAATCGACAGAGATGTGCAATCAACCGCAAGCATTGTCCACTACTCCAGTGCATACCTTTCTGCAATAAACTTTTTTTTCTCGTTAACTGTGCATAACTGCTCGATTCATTCTGTCGTTTTTTGCAGTGCTCAATCTTGGGTCTGCAAGCAAGTGGCTATTTATCGCCGANATCAAAACACACTCAATCAGACACTTTAATTGGTGATCTTATCGCCACCAGCACCAGCACTACCATCATCATCACTGCTGGCTTGGCATTCAAATGAATAATGTTTTCATTTAAACATCAGTGCCACTAAATACAAGAAAAGGAGGAGGAGGTTTGAAACAAATGAATACAGACTAGTCAATAGTAGTGGGCCTTTTTTCAATCGACAGAGATGTGCAATCAACCGCAA